ATGCAGAGGTCACCTGTAGTCTCCATACGGACAGCCTCAGCGTTCTAGTTCATGTCCAAAGGCCATCTACTGGCAGAATTCTTTCTTGCTCAGGGAAAATCAGTCTTTAATCTATTAAGGCCTTCAACTGATTTGATGAGGCCCACCACATTTGGGGGGGGCAATCTGCTTTCCTCAAAGTCACCAATTTAAATATTAACCTCATCCCAAAACACCCTCACAGAAACATCCAGAATAATGTTTGACCAGATATCTGGGCACATGGCCCACCCAAATTAACAAGCAAAATTAAGCATCACACCAGCCCAGATGCAAACCCAGGTGAAGGAAGCCTTCCTAGATCCCCCAGACCAGGCTGGCCACCAGCTGTGTGCCAAGGAGTAACCTGTCAATGCCACAAGGAGCAAAGGAATCACCCAGCCACTCCCTGCCTGGTTTCTTAACCCACAGTCTGTCTGGGAGCATTATAAAATAGTTATTTTAAGTCACAGAGGTAGCTTGTTATGCTCCAATAATAACTGGGACGCTAACTTTAACTTACATTCCTCCCCCTCCCCCTTAACAAGCATCAGCTACACTGGCCATCTCAAACACACCAGCTCCTTCTAGCTCCAGGGCCTTTCCACCTGCTGTTCTCTTGGCCTGTGATAGTTTTCCTCCAGCCCAGTGCTTAGTTGGCTCTCTTCATCCTTCCTGCCTCAGATCAAAGATTACTTCCTCAGAGAGGCCTTCCCTGACCACACTCTCTAAATCAGCCTTCCTCTCAATGTCTCTGTTTTTTCATTCTGTTCGTTTTCTTTAAAACATTTACCTCAATCTGAAATTATCTTGTTGTGTCTCTGGCTATTGTCTTCTCCCAATTAAAACATGAGTTCTATAAAGCTGGGTCTTTATCTAGCCCCTGTATTGCCCATACAGTGATTAGCACAGAACACATGTTCAATAAATATTTTTGGAATGAAAAGTAATTAATGCTCATGTCATACATAGGTGACTGACTTCCAGATTCTGTCCGTAGACCTCAATTTACTAACACTTTTATCACAGACTAAATGAAGGAAAATTAGTCCTCCCATGTGATACAAAGGATATGCTTCTCTGATGTTTCTTCTCCCTTCTCTAATGAGATGAGCAACCACGAGGGAACAAAAGACCTAGCATCCTCTCACAACCTCTCAGAGACAAAAACCATTGCATTTTTATACTGGATTATCAGTGTGGCTTATTCACATATTTTCCAAACTCTTCCAGATTAACTAAAAGGCAACTCTAAACTGAGGAAGGGAGGAAAAGTTCTCTCTTTTCTCCTGGAGATCCACTCTGCCTTTAGCCTTTGCACAATACAGTCTCAGCTCTTAACTTCCTCCCCCAGACCCACAGCACGGGGCTTACAGAGACCCTGGAGAAAGGGGTGGAGAAGAAGCAGCCTCATTCCCCACTTTTTTTTGGTTCCCCTCCCTTTCCCAGTTCTTTTATACACTTAAGGTATGAAAACAATGTATATTCTTCCCCATCACCTGAACTCAACTCCTGACTCACAAGCCCTTCCTACCTGCAGCCACCCTCCTCTCCCAGCAGGACCCAGCCCCACCCTATATACTTATTAATTCCCTTGTATTCTGATTCTCCCTTGTATTAACCATGTCTTTTCGTTTTGTATTCTGAGGCTTTGACATTAGGGGCCTTGCTGATGCCGGGAGAGAGTGCCCCTCCCAGGGTAAGCCAATTCCTAAAGACAGTAAACAACACACCTGCAAGCACACTTTTCAAATATAATCCAACCAATCCAAAGCCCACACTCCAACCACCTGCTTTATTGGGCCGTCACACTCTGGGCCACTATCCACCTGCCCTCATCACCCCAGGGCCAGATACCCGACCACTAGGGAGAGCGTGTATGCACCAGAATCCACTGGAATTATTCAATCTAGCCAATCTACACCTGCCCACCCGGCCTCAGCCATTCCTTCCCACAGAAAGCACGGTGAAGGCTCCTGCCCACAGCTCCCCAGCTCCCCTGCCTCCTGACTGACTCCAGCGCTTCCCCTCACCCACCCACCCCCCGCCCCACCATGCTGTGCCCTCTCCTCTTGAGAACTGAGTAACAAACTATCTTTTCAACGGCAATTGGCTCCTGATCTGTTGACCTTACTATACCTCCGATTGTCTGTTAACTCACTATATTTTAAAACATCCTTCTAGACTGTAAGTGAAGCCAGTGTCTTAATCATTTGGGAGACAACTCAGAGCCTGCACTCTCAGTACTCAGTATTTTAATTCTCATTTTAGCAAGATTAAAAACTTCTTGAATTAAATCACTGACTCGCTCAAGAAACATTTATTGATGCCTTGTGTGTATTGTGGAAGGCTCTGGGGATAGGAGGATGAACTAAGCATGCTCTCAGGCAGGCTCCTGGTAGGAAAGGGGCTCAAAAAATTGTTAAGGAAAAAAGGAATAGATGAATGTCTTCCCAGACTCCACAAGCTAGAGCACATTACTGGCTGTATCCCCTGGTATGTTCCCCTCATAAAATCACTGTCAATTTTGGAGGGATTGAAAATAAACTGATTTGTCTTATTCTGTTCCATTCTTTACGTGACAAACTATTGAGACCGGGAATCTAAAAGATTATTCCATTTTTTCAAGCTATTATCAGATTTCATTAAGCTTCCTTCGAAACATCTTCACAAAAATACAGCCTAGCTATTCCTCAGAACAGCCTGAGAAAACTATTGTTTTGGGGACAGGACATAATATTATTCAATAATTATTCAATAATTATTCAATAATTCAATAATATTATTGAAAACAGTCAACACTTACTGATCTCTTAATATATGCCAGGTATTGTATCAAGCATGGTGTTTGCACCCTTCTATTTGATCCTCATAACATGTGTATTATCATAACACATGTGTATTATTTTACAAATGAAAAAACTGAAGTAGGATGAAAGTTTTGCTAAATGTAGCACAGTTATAAAAGGATCCAGGCAGTGTTACTTCTGAGTCCACTTGTTTAATAACTAATTCTAGATGTGAGTTAAGAAACTATATAGTTTTCTAATGATACATTGCTTAGGCCCTTTCTTATAATCCATTAAAGGATTTGGGCCAATCTTTATTCCAGGAGAAATTCTACGCTTTCAAAATGCTGCTACTAAATGTACATTATTTGAGTACAATAGAATGTTTCTTCTAATAGTTCATTAGGATTTGTTTGTAAGCTGCTCTGCCTGGCCACCATCCACAGGAGTCTAGTTGGTTATATAGTAAAATGAGCTACGTTTAAAAAAACTCCAGAATTGTTCTCCAAAAACTCTCCATAAAAAAGTGGCAAACCTTAGTAACTGTGTTCATATACAGAATGCATGTTAGGACTCAAGCTGTTAGGAGAGCGAGTTCTCTGCTTTTTTGTGAGTGAATCTTTCCCAAGGAATTTAGTCAAAATCTTGTGGCAATGACTGCTTGCCTTAGCTTTAATTATTCTTTTTATTTCCATTAATTTGGTTTAATACATACCACACAGGTCATCTCCAGCCTTGATGTGCTACACCGGGGGAAACTTACTCCTCTCTGTAAGATAATTATATCCTCACAGGCCAGGCACTGGGTGTGCTCTGGGGAGTCTACAACTTCAGTCACCTTGAACCTCTAATATGTCTTCTTTTAAGGCACTTTTGTGGAAAAGCCACAGGACAGCAAGTACCATGTATATCTCAAATCTGCTCTTCTGTTTCTCTCTATGTATGGCTACAGATTAAACAAAACTACCATAACAGGCAAACTGAACTCTTTTTCTGGCCCTTGAGTTTCAGAATTCCCAGGAGCAACACTGAAATCTACTTCTCTTTCCTTCTCCTTTCCGAAAGAGAAAGCAATGAGTTGCTGAGTAAGGCTTTTGATCTCTTGCCCAACCTCAGGCTTCCTAAGATACTGGTCAAATGATGTTTAATGCTTCTTTTTTTTAAAGACCCAAACCTCCCTATCCCAGCCTAGAGTAAAGGGAGAAGACACACGTGAAGGGTTTCTTTTACTCTACAACAAGCAATTTTTGAGTGCCAACTATGTGCCTGGATCTGTTCTAAGGCCTTAGAGATGCAGCAGTGAATCGGTATCCTACTTACCACTGAGCAGGAGGGCAGTACTTTAAATTCCCACTGGAACCAAACCACAACACAGAACACTTTAAACTACACAGCGTCTTAGAAGTTAGGGTCAGAAGAAACCTGAGGAGTCTTAAAAGACTTGCAGCTGCCTCAGGCTCTATTCCCTACACTTATTAGAACCCGGTACTTAATATGAGCTGCAGGAAAGAGATGTGACCCCCTCATATTCATATGCAAAGTTTGGTGCGCAAGTATACACATTTTCTGGGGCCACGTTCTAGATGTTTCCTCGAATTCTCAAAAAGGTCCAGGATCCCACAAAGATTAGCAGCATTCCTTTAATATACCCACTGCTCGGCTCGAGGAACCCCCGGGGCTGCACTTGCACGTCCTTGATAAAGGTCACCTTCTGAACCAAAAACTAATGCCTGGTAGACACCACACAAGCCGCCCCAGGGGCTCAGACTGCTGCACACCCGGCTCAGTCCTTCCTACACTCAGAACTTCGCCCTCAAGAGAGCGTCAGGCTGGAAGGTGGCCCACTGCCTCGGAAAGGGAGCGAGGCCTGGAAGGAAGGAGGCATAGGTTCCCGGCAAGGAAATCACGCGCCTCACTTTGGACAACCTATAAGTTATGGCCGAGACTAGTTCGCAGAGCCTGTCTGCCCCGAGCGCCAAAGTTTCTCTGAGCGCATACACAATTAGATCCATCTGGGCCTCTTCAGCACTGGCGAGGTAGCCCCGCACTTCCCCCCAGCGAGCTGTCGTGCGGAGGGGGCGCGCACCTGCTCAGGGCCACGAGGACTGCACCCCGCGCCCCCCTCCCACGCGCGCGCCAGGGTCCGCCACTTCCGAGCGCGACTCGCGTGCGTGGGTCGCGCCAGTACCTCACCGTCAGTCACCGTCGCATCCGCCTCCTCCCCTGCCGGGTGCACCTCCAGCCGCAGAGACTTCGGGTTGGGAAGCGAGAGCGGCCCCGCAGCGAAGAGCTGCTCCTCGGTGACGAAGCGCAGTTGCACGCGGTACTGCCGGCGCGCCGGGATCCGGACGGGAGCGGGAGCGTCGGCCATGGTGCGAGCGCCTCTACCACGAGCCTGAGCGGCGCCGCGGCGTCGCCCCGCACTGCTCCGTGCGCCCAGAACCCGCCGCGGGAAGGGGAGGGACTTGGAAGCGCCGCACCTTCCTCACCTCCGCCGCGAGTTCGCTCTTCGTCCGCCGGCTGGGGCCGCCCCCGCCCCCTTGCGCATCCGCTCGTAACAGCCGGTGCCCGGCCGCCGCTGCCACGCGGCGACCCCAGGCACACAGGGCCGCGCGGTAGCTGCGCGGGAGGGTGCAGCCATCCCACGGGGCCGTGGCTCCGAACGCACAAGTTTAGAGAGCACGCGAAGCACCTGGAGGCAGTTGGGGTTTGGAAGCAGAAGGGTGACACCTGCTGTTCGCTGGTACCGCTCGGCGGGCGTGGGCGTCGGTTTGGAAATGGCCGCGGCCCGAGCTTCTTCTGGGTGGCCACTGGCTCTCGGGCGGCTTCTGGGGCTCCTAGCGCTCACGTGTGAACAGCCGTCCCAAGTACCGAGCTCTTTACTCATTGACAGGGTCCCGGCAGTAGCAGCCAGGCGGCGGGGAAGCCCGGGGACTCTCTTGCGACTGGCTGGTCCCGGATGATCACGTTCATCTCCCATCACCTAACTCGGAATTGAAAACGTATTAGCTGCTGGATTGTGAACCATTTCGCTAGACGTGAGTCGGGAGGGCCGGGGAGTCTCATCCCCAGGTTGACGCCTGACTCCACCAGCTACCTAACCTACCCAGTTAGCTCCAGCGTCAAAGCATGGAGGCTCCAAACCGTACCAAACATTGTCTTCTCTGCAGAGAAATTGGTCTTCTGCTGCACGGGGGTAAGAAGAAGAAGCAGTCCTTCTTTTGAGGAGAGTGCCCCGCAATCGTAGACTCATTTGCTATAAAGGGAACTTTTCAAATTCTGAACCAACTTCTGTGTCCTAAATCCGTAATCTTCTGACAATGAACTGCAGGGAAGAAGCAAGGATTGTAAATCCATTTGGATTCCATGAAGACAATGTCCTTAACCAAGCAGGCTGACTTTACAAGAATGAGCTTCCCTCGAGGCCCTGAGGTTTGTAGCTTCAGAATTTCCAACTGGACTGTTAAAACCCAGCCCGGCTTTATGAAATCCCTGGTCTCATTCATCTCCCCACTCCCACCCCACCTCCCATGTGATCTGAGTTCCTGATGTGGTCTCTCTGCCTCCTCCCCTTATTCGCTCCCAAGGCTTTCCCCTCCTTCTCTGTCTCTTGTCTCTCTCTTTCATCTAAATACCACCACCCCCCTTCCTTCTTATCTCATTCTCACTTCCTCCTGTCTCATGGCCTTGACTTGCGCCCTGGAAGCCCCTGGAAATCAGAAATCCATTAAAGAGTTGGAGCTGCGGAAAGGGTTTCTGGTGTGAAGACCACACCAGTATTCTGCCCCACCCTGCCCCCCACTGTATCATTCTGCCTCTCCTGCTTCCAGCCTCCTCAAAACATTTTGCCTTCCTCATTTCTTTCTACCTTCTCAGAAGAAGTACTTAGTGATGGCACTAAGTACTTTTGTGCCACCCAAAACCCTCCAAAGTAGTTCATGAACCTCTTTATCCTCTTTTTTGACAAGCTTGTTCAGCCTTCATATGCTGTCAGCTATTAACTTGGATTTATACTAAGATGTGGATGATGGATGAAAATGACTCATAAAGCATCTTTACAGGGACAATATAATGGCCTTAGTAGAATTTCCACCATACTCTCAAGAAACCTGGAGTTCTGTTACTTAAAGCAAACAAGAAAACATAAAACGTAATGGCAGTCTTTCCCCCACAGTAATGCAGGGGGCAAAAACCCAACTTAGGCCAAGTGGAGAAAAAAGTCAAAATATTATGATTCACCACAAAGCTGGGAAATCTAAACTTTGGTCATGACTAAATTTAGGGACTCCATTAAGGTTGACCAGATGGTCTTGTCTCCATCTTACAGAGAGGTCTTAGTCACATGCTAGATGCTGTCACTGATTTACAACCTTCCAGCAAAGGTAGCACTTCTCCTCTAACTCCAAATCAGGTTGAGCCATTTGAAAATGGCTGATTTGCTGTAATAGATCTACCCAACTTGGAACTTGGACTAGGGAGACTGGAAGCCTTACCAAATTTGCATCACCTGAATGACGGATGAGCAGATAACCAAAGGGAGGAGGTCTCTGGGATGCTAAAGCAAGTTATAATCATGACATGTAACACAGAGTGCTTCCCACATGCCTGGGACTGGTCCAAGCATGTTACATACATTCATTCATTAATCCTCCCCACCACCCTGTGAGAGGGTAATGAGACTATTACGACCCTTGTTTTGACGAATGAGGAAACTAGGCACAAAGATTAACCAACTTGCCCAAAGTCACAGCTTAGAAGTGGCATAAGTCTTCTACAACAGTTCAGACACAAAAGTCCATGAATGTCCTTACTACCACTTCTCAAAGTTAGAAGCTAGTAGACTAATTTCTTAGTATTCCAAATGGATAGCGCTCAAGACCTTTATGAGTCCCCAGACTTGTAAGCATGTTATTTAAACGGTTCCCACTTTCTTTCCTCTCCTCCTCCCACCCTCACGCAGATGGTTAAGAATCCCTTACACTTCCCCTCCACAGGTGTTTCACCTTCCAATAGTTTTATTTACACTCGAGCAGGTTTGGCCCTGGTGCAAGCACTAGCAGAGAGTTCCATGAATGATTTTTCTTTTGTGTTGAGTATAATGTAGATTCACTCATCATCTATTTGATCCACCACTGAAGTTGACTTTCTATTCCGAACTTCTGTTTTCTAACGGCCATCACTCTCTTCCATCTCTTCCTTTCTGTCATCAGCACTTTTCAGGGCCAGACTTTTTAAAAAAAAATCAGTTCAGGAAAGTTAAGACAGAGGAGAGCCAGCCTGCAATGGAATGTTGATTGGGAGCAGCTGGAACGTAACTGCTAAGTTCCTGTCTCCGGTCTGCCAACGTCAGCGTGTGCCAGGGGGAAGCTGTGTTTTGCCAGCCATTTGCAGAGATAGGATGGAGGTCTGAGGATCAAACTGGGGAGGTTAAAGCCATGCTCCAGATTCTTCCTAGAAAGAACGAGTTCGCTCAGAAGTGAGGGAGCAGCCCTGACTTCCTTGAGAGACTGTTTCCAGCTCCTGATTGACTGTTGTCAGTATAGCATCAAAAGCATTGACTTTGTTTATGCATATGATCTGTGTCCAAAGCTTTGAGAGATTCTTTCTATCCTTTTCTTTCTCCAGATAACACATGGAAAAGGACATCTGGCCAACCTCATTTGCAGGGGCCTGTGGCTGCTAGCTCAGCTCAGCTTCGGCACCCAAAGGGACGTCATCAGACCAGTGCCGAGCTGAGAGAGAAAGGAGGTCCACCTCTGTCTGTCTCCTGCCTTCCCCAGGGTGCAGCCCAATCTGCAAATGAACTGCAATTCAAATAGCTCGAGGTCTAGACCAGGCTCTTCAACCCCTGACGAGCCCTTTTCCTCATACCCTGAGCAGCGAGACCACAGTGCCTTCTCCCTTCCCCTGACTTCACAGTATATTATCCTCAGCAATATGGCGGCCACACTACTTAGCATGTTGTTCCACCAAAAAAAAAAAAAAAAAAAATTCTGTGCCTCAGCCAAAAACAATTTTCTACACATCATGAAGGAATTCTGATGCCACTCCCAAGTCCACCTCACACAGTTCTGCTGCTGTCCTGGGGACATGATTCTAGCTTGAGTAACTCAGATACGGGACAAGGTACTCATAAAAGGAGGCGGGAGTTAACCCTGAGATAAACCCAACCCACATCACAGGTTTCCTGAGAAAGGTGTATGGGAATGGCCACGGTTAGAAGCAGAAAGTGATCAGGTCTTGCAGACAGAGGCGGACCTGAGATGAGCGAAGCAGCTGGACCTGGGAACTTCACGGGAGGGGTTTCCCTCAGCTCACAAGGAAAAGTCACACTTCACGTGAGGTTTTTCTCATCTCAGGTTGTAAGTGCCTTTCAGTGCCCCGGCTCGGGGCTGCAGTTTGTCAGCTCTGCCTCTGCAGCTGAGTCTGGTGGTGGGTTGGAACACAGCATACGAGAGAGAGAAATGTACTGGCCCCCCGGGAAGGAAAGAGCATTTATCTAGAAGACTGTTTCCAGGATTGCAGATCATTACTGGCAGGAAATGAAAGGGACCCCCACATTGCTGGGAGTGCAAGGGAGGAGCAAGCCATGCTGAGGAGTACACCAAGAGGCTTGGGGGGAGGCAGATTTGGGGTCCAACCTCAGACCCAGTCCTTACCTGAGTAACTCAGGCAAATTCCTCAGATGCTTTGAATTTATGGAAGTTTTTACAGTAAACACACAATGACCCTATAAGCTTATTGTGAAAATTAAATGACACTGTATAGCAAGCACTGAATATATACAGCAGCTATCATTATTACTCATGCAAGAAAATATGGAAAAGTAAAAAGACAAAAGCTTAAATAAATCATATTCCCTCACCTGACTACAACCATTGGAATTATTTTAGAAGAGTTATTTCTTACATTTTTTTTATTAGCCAGCTAATCTTGGCACTGTCAGCTTTTTTTTTTTTGAAAGAAAAAAACAGTGTGAATACCCACAGGTAGGAGAGATGTATGTATATAGGATTGACTCCGTTTTCCCCTGATAAGAAAGACTTACTAGTTACATAGGCGTGCGAGTTTCAGCTTTTATTTATTTTTGTTTTTGTTGTTCTGTCATTTATTTATGGCTTGTGATTTATATTGTACTCATGCCCAGAGGCACATTGGCATGTTTTGTAAACTACCAAATAAATAAACAGCAGCTATATTTCCAGATCCATTTGCATGGAGGTGAAAGCAAACATGAAAATTGGAGAAAACAAGCTGGAAAATTGAGAAGACGGTTGGAAGAGCATTTTGAAAAACTAATGTGATTATTATTAATCTGCCAATCCACGCTTAAATCCAGGGTCAGACCCCCTGCAATAGGCAGTTACAAAGAAATTACTTCGAGGATCGTCCACCTGGAGTTCTTCCCAGAGAGGTGATGTGTTTGTATGAAATCTATGCATGATTTCTCATGAGGTTCCTTTCTTGATCTCTAAGCAGGAATTCTAAAACAGACATAGTAAGCTTACTGACCCAGAATACACTTGATTATCTGACTTATTAGAGAACACAGTAGGAAGAATAAAACGGATGTTAACAAAAAATGCAT